ATAAAAAGCAAGGGTTAATATAAGGATAAATTTAATAAAGAAATTTTAATTAATTATACATACTTATAATTAAGTGGAAATTTGTGAATAGTCAAATTAACAGAAGTGACAAAGTATTATTCTAAAATTTTGTAGGGTTATATCTAATAGCTTCAAGAAGCAATAAAATGTTATGTTATCACTATTCACTACTAAAAAACAATTGAAGGTTACCAGATGGCAGCTGATATGTGTGACGGCCTAAGAAAAATAAAGCGAAAAATGTCTTTGTCTATTTTTTTTTTTTTTGGTTTTTTAAATTAATATTTTAAAATTTTAATCTGTTTACTTTAAAATATTATTTTTTTAATATGTTTTTGCTTTGTTATTTCATATTTTGTGTTACGTTTAGTATTCTAATAAATAAAAGTATTTTTAATTTTAATTTTTATATTATTACCATTAAATAATTTTACTACCATTAAGTTTTCCTTAAAATCATTTTTAAAGCATTTAAAAAATTAAAATAGAGAAATTCGGAAAACGAGATAAAACATTGAAGAGCGATAAACGTATATTTTGACTTAAGATGATTGAAATAAAGGTAAAAGTAAATAGTTAAAAATAAAAATGAGAATTAGAATGTGAATACTACCACTGAATTATTATATATGGAATTATCAATATAATACATATATTTTCTCTTACACTCTTATTTTGTCTTTTAGGGTTCTTATTATATGTCTTATACACTCTCTATTTTCATTTTTTTATAATTTTTTATTAATAGTTTTTTTTTTCTCTCTATCCATTTCCACTTTCTGGCCATATACCCCATACGTAGTAATAATTATTTAATTACATAATCCCTAATAAAATATTGGTGGAGATCTCTTACTATCCTAAACAAGAATAGGTGTCTGGAAACATCTAAAAAAAGGGTGAAGAAAACAAAAATAAAAGAGTAGATGATAGTTCTAATAAACTTGTACGTAGTTCTAAAATAAATCTTACACTTAACATAAGAAACTTCCTATCGTTCACGGGCAAAGATAATGCATGTATATTATTACCAAATATATAAAGCTGCAGAATATTTTCCATGTCATGAAGTTTATGACAACGGTTATGATATAATAACCCTAGCTATAGCTAGTTTGTAATTTAACTGAAGAAGTGGTTTTTGTGCATGTATATGACATGCCTATCTTTTATTATAACAAACGATTGAAAATTGGATTTCTTTTGATTTGCTATATCTTCACAGCATAGTTATAGCTTCTGAGCAGAAGCTTTGTTGCACTTCCATTGCCAGTTCCTCCAGACTCAGTTGACATCCCAGTTCTATCTGCAGTAGTAAAAAAACGTATCACGTAAACAATGTAATGACAACATAAAGAAAGAAGCTGTAAATAAAATCCATATAAGTATTTTATTTGTGATTGCAACTCTATCTTTTTAGGTTTACTTGAATATGTACGATCACCCTCATCCAAATTTACGGATATTGTTGTGACACTGATTGTGGTGTTTATTGTTTGTTTTCATCTCAATGGCGACACGCTCTTGTGCTATTTAAATTGAATTTCAGTTCGGAAATTAACATAAATATTGGACAAAGTGCTACAGTTAAATTTTCTATAGAGGAATCTACAAGCTAGATTGCATGAAAATTGTATTAAAAACACATCAGGAAGGTGATGAACAAAAGTGAGAGAAAAACGATAACTAAATTTTTCGGTAAGCGTATAGAATATTTGTCAGACTTGTATGTTCCCTGATAAATTTTAGAAGCGAGATCGCATTAGTAAAATGCGTCATGGCTATTTGATCAAAATCAAGAAGTGTTACCTTCGGTCTAATAACATTTTTTTACGTCCTTTTGAGTTGTAATTTGCGTATTGTGGTTTAGATATCGAAAAGTTGTAAAATCTACATTGATTTCTCAGAAAGCTATGTGTTTGGTTCATAGAAATGGCTTGAAACCCTAATTGAAGTAGGCTATGAATTCCGATTGTTACGATCAATGATAAAATCTCCCAACATTTGGGAATCTCACTGTTACTTTTCTTGATTATTCTTATAAGTGTATTTATGAATATATAGTTAGTGTTAACTAATATATATTATTGTATCTAACTATTTATAGTTATTGTTAACTGATATATATTATTGTTAAATACGAAGTTATAAAAGAATTATGACAGGAATTAATAGTTATTGTTTCACCTTGACCACAAACTGGTAAAGGACAGTCTCCTCCATGCTGCTGATGTTCAGATGAAGAACTTCAAAGGAAAGACTTTCCAAAACAGTTACGATCCTTGCAACTTGACCCGGAATTCTTTGGGAGATCACTTTCAAGATCACATTTGAACCAGAGATTTTCACTTCAACGTCCGCAACAGAAGAGTTGCAGCTTGCTCCCAGTTCCTTGAAAGAATTGGGCCCAATTATGGAGGAGCTATCAAGTTGATGAAAATTTGGCTGAAGTGTTCGTGGACTCGGACCTGGGCTAGGGCTTAAACTCTTTCTTCTTTTCTGGGATTCCAAAGCCTGAAGAACTTGGTGTAACTCCTTGATGAATTCTATGACACCGCCTATTATAGATGCTTGATCTCCCTAAAATAAAAGCAAAAACACGAAAAGAAACTCACTTCCAAAAATCAATCAATTAGCAACATGGGAAATTGTCTTTCCCTCATTGACATCACAAAATTTTGATGATGAGTTTGTTAAAAATTATTCATAATTTCTCTGGTATGGTAACTCAAAAGCCGATCACATACACAGAAAGATTAGGAAGAGGAAAAAGAAAAGAAAAATACCCTTTTGATATAGAAACAAGGAGTCAACGATCTTAAAACTTTGAGATGTTCATTCATCTGTCTTCTTCGGTTCCTCTCGACAGCTATGTGAGACATGATAACTATGGTTGAGGTGTGTCTTGGTTTTTTGGTAGTTAGATGTTTCAACTACAGAAGTCAAAGTGTGGTGTATTTATAGGAGGGAATTTAAGAGTAAGAGTGAAGGTAATAAATGGTATAGGTTGCTTTCTCGTGAAGTATTCTTTAACGTAGTTTAGAAATAGATACACTCTTTCTCTGTCTTTCCTTGCTTATAAACATTACGCGTCTCACGCTTATGATCTTGCGTCAATTACGTGCCCTCGTGAGTTAAAACAGGGACATGGTTATTTTCTCAGCTCTCCCTTGCATTTTTATCTCTTTCCTTTCCCCCATTCATGCATGCCTTGCCGAGGCTTTCATCGCTCAACTTAGTATCGTCTTGCAAACATGCAATTTATTCCCAAACATTGTTTTCTTCGCTGTACCAAATTTATCTGCTTCACACCTTTTTAACCCTTTTTTCCTTTCAATATCCCTTTTATTTTCTTCTCGGAATTCCAACTCCACCTCTCCAAAACTCCAACAAAAAGGAAAATAATGTTTATATACACTTAAAATACTTATAGATCACAACATTTTTTTCACTTAAAATACTAAAGTTTCAGAATCTTATAATTAATTAGTTGGTTATATATTTCATGCAAGTTATTAATAACGGGTCGTAGAACGCATATAATATGGTTTAGGAATACGAATAGCCTAAATTCCTAGATTCAAATAGCTCAATGTTTGAATTATTTAACAAAAACTTTGAATTTATAACCGGCTTACAAATAAGTCGTGATTGAAAGTATATATTTCATAGAGTTGAGAAATACTTTTTGATAAAAAAAAATGTTAAAATAATTACGAAAGTCCTTGGCTAATTCCTGTTATTTTTCATCTTTATATTTATTTTTTTAATTTAACATTTAAATATAAATCATTAAATTTTAAAAAAGTAAATAATGAGAATGAAAGTAAAATTATTCTTAACCCTATGTTTTTTAAATTAAAACATAATCGACAATATTATAAATATATATAATTTTAAGGATATTATTATAATTTAATATTCCTAAGGAATAAATTACTCATCAGTAAATACTACAACGGACTTTCATTTTATTTTCTTATAATATGGACATATGTGGCAACAATTAATTGTCTGCACTACTTCGTTTGGTAGAGGGAAAACAAACAAAAAATGAAAAATAATAGTTAAAATAAAAACTGTTTGATGAGAAAGAAATGAATGAATTTTGTTATTATAATATTATTCATTATTATTAATATTATCTCTTGTATTCAACATTATAATATGTACAGGTGATTGTGATAGTTACATGATTAATTATGAGATCACATAAGTCATAATATTTTATTCGTCATAGTTAGGTTTAAGTATAACATAATTGATTATGTTAAGAATAATTTTCCCGATTTTCTGCATAATGTTGCAAGAAAGGTTCGTTTTGTGTCTAAAACTTATATTAAACAAAGACTTGGGGTACTCCACTAGGTAGTCATGTAGCAGCAGATAATTAATTCCTTACATCTGCGCTTACAGGATGCAGTCCATTAAACTTTCAAACATTAACAAAACAAAAGCCATGACATATAATGACAAAATTAAAAATACAACTTGCCTAATTATTTATCTCCAGAAAAAGAAAATAAAAGATGAAGCAGACTTCTCTCCTACTTTATCATCACAACGAACAGAGAAACAAATTAATTTTTCAGCTTATAATACCTACAAATTACATGTTTCAAGTTACTTACCACATGTTAAAATTCTTAGTTTAAGTTTGTTTCTATAACAATCAACTTAATAAATATGCGGTGACATTTTTTAAATAAAAGTATATATTTTAACTCTGTTGTTAATCTCACAAGAGACTTCAATTTTAGTTTTACATCTATTAAAATTTAAATAGATTTAAATTTTGTATTTGTTGAGTTTTCTACACTAGACTTAAATTAATATTTTAAGTTTTTTCTTAATGAAAAGATATCTTAGTTTTATACAAGATCCATGTTTAATTTAAAAAAGAATTTTTTTTCATGCGCGTAGGTTACAAATTGCAGGATGAAAATTAAATATTAAAGATGAAAGATGAAGATCAAGTATCAAGGATCAAGGATCAAGNCTGAGCAGAAGCTTTGTTGCACTTCCATTGCCAGTTCCTCCAGACTCAGTTGACATCCCAGTTCTATCTGCAGTAGTAAAAAAACGTATCACGTAAACAATGTAATGACAACATAAAGAAAGAAGCTGTAAATAAAATCCATATAAGTATTTTATTTGTGATTGCAACTCTATCTTTTTAGGTTTACTTGAATATGTACGATCACCCTCATCCAAATTTACGGATATTGTTGTGACACTGATTGTGGTGTTTATTGTTTGTTTTCATCTCAATGGCGACACGCTCTTGTGCTATTTAAATTGAATTTCAGTTCGGAAATTAACATAAATATTGGACAAAGTGCTACAGTTAAATTTTCTATAGAGGAATCTACAAGCTAGATTGCATGAAAATTGTATTAAAAACACATCAGGAAGGTGATGAACAAAAGTGAGAGAAAAACGATAACTAAATTTTTCGGTAAGCGTATAGAATATTTGTCAGACTTGTATGTTCCCTGATAAATTTTAGAAGCGAGATCGCATTAGTAAAATGCGTCATGGCTATTTGATCAAAATCAAGAAGTGTTACCTTCGGTCTAATAACATTTTTTTACGTCCTTTTGAGTTGTAATTTGCGTATTGTGGTTTAGATATCGAAAAGTTGTAAAATCTACATTGATTTCTCAGAAAGCTATGTGTTTGGTTCATAGAAATGGCTTGAAACCCTAATTGAAGTAGGCTATGAATTCCGATTGTTACGATCAATGATAAAATCTCCCAACATTTGGGAATCTCACTGTTACTTTTCTTGATTATTCTTATAAGTGTATTTATGAATATATAGTTAGTGTTAACTAATATATATTATTGTATCTAACTATTTATAGTTATTGTTAACTGATATATATTATTGTTAAATACGAAGTTATAAAAGAATTATGACAGGAATTAATAGTTATTGTTTCACCTTGACCACAAACTGGTAAAGGACAGTCTCCTCCATGCTGCTGATGTTCAGATGAAGAACTTCAAAGGAAAGACTTTCCAAAACAGTTACGATCCTTGCAACTTGACCCGGAATTCTTTGGGAGATCACTTTCAAGATCACATTTGAACCAGAGATTTTCACTTCAACGTCCGCAACAGAAGAGTTGCAGCTTGCTCCCAGTTCCTTGAAAGAATTGGGCCCAATTATGGAGGAGCTATCAAGTTGATGAAAATTTGGCTGAAGTGTTCGTGGACTCGGACCTGGGCTAGGGCTTAAACTCTTTCTTCTTTTCTGGGATTCCAAAGCCTGAAGAACTTGGTGTAACTCCTTGATGAATTCTATGACACCGCCTATTATAGATGCTTGATCTCCCTAAAATAAAAGCAAAAACACGAAAAGAAACTCACTTCCAAAAATCAATCAATTAGCAACATGGGAAATTGTCTTTCCCTCATTGACATCACAAAATTTTGATGATGAGTTTGTTAAAAATTATTCATAATTTCTCTGGTATGGTAACTCAAAAGCCGATCACATACACAGAAAGATTAGGAAGAGGAAAAAGAAAAGAAAAATACCCTTTTGATATAGAAACAAGGAGTCAACGATCTTAAAACTTTGAGATGTTCATTCATCTGTCTTCTTCGGTTCCTCTCGACAGCTATGTGAGACATGATAACTATGGTTGAGGTGTGTCTTGGTTTTTTGGTAGTTAGATGTTTCAACTACAGAAGTCAAAGTGTGGTGTATTTATAGGAGGGAATTTAAGAGTAAGAGTGAAGGTAATAAATGGTATAGGTTGCTTTCTCGTGAAGTATTCTTTAACGTAGTTTAGAAATAGATACACTCTTTCTCTGTCTTTCCTTGCTTATAAACATTACGCGTCTCACGCTTATGATCTTGCGTCAATTACGTGCCCTCGTGAGTTAAAACAGGGACATGGTTATTTTCTCAGCTCTCCCTTGCATTTTTATCTCTTTCCTTTCCCCCATTCATGCATGCCTTGCCGAGGCTTTCATCGCTCAACTTAGTATCGTCTTGCAAACATGCAATTTATTCCCAAACATTGTTTTCTTCGCTGTACCAAATTTATCTGCTTCACACCTTTTTAACCCTTTTTTCCTTTCAATATCCCTTTTATTTTCTTCTCGGAATTCCAACTCCACCTCTCCAAAACTCCAACAAAAAGGAAAATAATGTTTATATACACTTAAAATACTTATAGATCACAACATTTTTTTCACTTAAAATACTAAAGTTTCAGAATCTTATAATTAATTAGTTGGTTATATATTTCATGCAAGTTATTAATAACGGGTCGTAGAACGCATATAATATGGTTTAGGAATACGAATAGCCTAAATTCCTAGATTCAAATAGCTCAATGTTTGAATTATTTAACAAAAACTTTGAATTTATAACCGGCTTACAAATAAGTCGTGATTGAAAGTATATATTTCATAGAGTTGAGAAATACTTTTTGATAAAAAAAAATGTTAAAATAATTACGAAAGTCCTTGGCTAATTCCTGTTATTTTTCATCTTTATATTTATTTTTTTAATTTAACATTTAAATATAAATCATTAAATTTTAAAAAAGTAAATAATGAGAATGAAAGTAAAATTATTCTTAACCCTATGTTTTTTAAATTAAAACATAATCGACAATATTATAAATATATATAATTTTAAGGATATTATTATAATTTAATATTCCTAAGGAATAAATTACTCATCAGTAAATACTACAACGGACTTTCATTTTATTTTCTTATAATATGGACATATGTGGCAACAATTAATTGTCTGCACTACTTCGTTTGGTAGAGGGAAAACAAACAAAAAATGAAAAATAATAGTTAAAATAAAAACTGTTTGATGAGAAAGAAATGAATGAATTTTGTTATTATAATATTATTCATTATTATTAATATTATCTCTTGTATTCAACATTATAATATGTACAGGTGATTGTGATAGTTACATGATTAATTATGAGATCACATAAGTCATAATATTTTATTCGTCATAGTTAGGTTTAAGTATAACATAATTGATTATGTTAAGAATAATTTTCCCGATTTTCTGCATAATGTTGCAAGAAAGGTTCGTTTTGTGTCTAAAACTTATATTAAACAAAGACTTGGGGTACTCCACTAGGTAGTCATGTAGCAGCAGATAATTAATTCCTTACATCTGCGCTTACAGGATGCAGTCCATTAAACTTTCAAACATTAACAAAACAAAAGCCATGACATATAATGACAAAATTAAAAATACAACTTGCCTAATTATTTATCTCCAGAAAAAGAAAATAAAAGATGAAGCAGACTTCTCTCCTACTTTATCATCACAACGAACAGAGAAACAAATTAATTTTTCAGCTTATAATACCTACAAATTACATGTTTCAAGTTACTTACCACATGTTAAAATTCTTAGTTTAAGTTTGTTTCTATAACAATCAACTTAATAAATATGCGGTGACATTTTTTAAATAAAAGTATATATTTTAACTCTGTTGTTAATCTCACAAGAGACTTCAATTTTAGTTTTACATCTATTAAAATTTAAATAGATTTAAATTTTGTATTTGTTGAGTTTTCTACACTAGACTTAAATTAATATTTTAAGTTTTTTCTTAATGAAAAGATATCTTAGTTTTATACAAGATCCATGTTTAATTTAAAAAAGAATTTTTTTTCATGCGCGTAGGTTACAAATTGCAGGATGAAAATTAAATATTAAAGATGAAAGATGAAGATCAAGTATCAAGGATCAAGGATCAAGGATCAAAGATTAAAAATTTCAAATTAGAAGTTAGAAGTTAGAGATTGAAGATTAAATATTAAAGATTATTGGTTACATGAGGTTACAAGTTATAGGTTATAGGTTACAGGTTACAAGTTATAGGTTATAGGTTACAGGTTACAAGTTATAGGTTATAGGTTACAGGTTACAAGTTATAGGTTATAGGTTACAGGTTACTAGTGAAAGATTCAAGATTACAAATTACGTGTTAAGGATTACATGTTACGGTTTACAGGTTAAGTTACAGGTTGCAGGTTACATGCTAGAAGTTACAGGTTACAAGTTAGAAGTTACAGATTAAAGATTAAATATTATAGATTACAGCTTAAACTTACAAGTTGCAAGTTAAATGTTAAAGATTACAAATTACAGATTACGGGTTGTGGTTTACGGATTATAGGTTACATGTTACAGGTTACGGATTACAGGTTATGAGTTACAAATTAGAGGTTACAAGTTATAGATTACAGGTTAAAGGGTAAATATTACATGTTATAGGTTACAGTTTACATGTTACAGATTTCATGTTACATGTTACATGTTGCAAGTTATATATTACAGGTTAAAGATTAAAAATGACAGATTACAGGTTATGAGTTATGAGTTATAGTTTATAGGTTACAAGTTACAGTTTACAATTTATATATTACAAATTACAAATTACAAATTATAAATTTCAAATTACAAATTACATATTACAGGTTACACGTTAAAAAAAAACATAATACACGTTAAAGATATATGTTACATGTAATCTCTAGCTTGTAAGTTATAATACTGAGAAACAGAAACTGAATTATGAGATAATACAAGCAAAATCACTCATTTAAATGTCAAAGAAGCAATTGCAGAAAGCAGTCTGAAAATTGATGTTAAATGGAAGGCACGACGAGAAGATATTATTGCTATGAGCATTGCTGATGGTAAAGGGAGATACAAGAAAAGGAAAGTATTATAATTGAAAATAATTTAAGAAATGAAAAATTAGCAAATAGAAAAAATGAGTAAATGTATAATCTTTTTTATTATTGGCGGCACAGCTTATTTGATGAGGATGTCTTGTTCCTGTCTCACACCTTACTCCCTGGTCTTATTTATAGTTATATTTCAGAAAAGAGAAATAGTGCTTTAGCATGCCCCACCAATCACTTCATAACACACCTACGATAATAAATGATAAAATAATAAATAAAAGGTGAGTGTACAAATTTATTAAATGTCAACCTATTACCATTTTTATTAAAATTATCTATCGTCGGAGATTTAAAAATTAAAAATAAATTAATTTCATAAATTCAAATACAGAAACAAATTTTATCTATTTTTATCATGTTTAATACATTACCTAAAAGCTATTTTTTAATTAAAAGGAGTTTTATTTTCATTTCTTAATATCAATTTCCACGTGAAGAAGAAATAGACAAGATTGAAAATATAACTGTAAATGTAATGGAAGATGGAATATATATAAGAAGAAAGAGACAATATTGAAAATCTAATTCTTACTAATGAAAGATGGAATATATGTATAAGAAGAAACAGACAAGATCGAAAATCTAATTCTAACGATGAAAGATGGAAAATACTACATGGACATCCTTTACTCTTTCTATACACCCTTAAAATACTTACTTTTACTTTTCAAAATTATTTATCTTAAATTAATTATATATTTTAAAATAAACATACTATGTTATTAACATTAGGTGAATGTTTAGTCGAAAATAAAGTATTTATGTATCATCATATCATAAAAAGACAAAGATAGAAAAATAGAAAATGAGGGCGAAACATTGTTCTTGTTAGAAAAATGGAGATAAAGAAAAATTCTTAATATGCATCTACTCCCATATATATCAAAAGGCATACAAGTAGGAGCAATTCATATCCAAAAATGGATTAAATTATGTTTAAATTGAAAAATATTATATGTACCTTGGAGGGAATGTTTTGCAGCCTCCTCAATAATAGTGCGAACCATAGTTATAGCACTTTGCCGTCAAGGAAAAAGATTGTTTTAGAATAACCTATTTTAGAAACATATATGTATATAATTAAAGCTTTACAACTGTTTAAAATTTTAAGATCAATTAAGAATACTACAACAAGAAGAAAAAGAAAAGAGTGGTATTTTTTATCCTGAAATTAATCAGATTCATAGAATATAAAGATTGTCAGTTAAAAAATTTTAATCAGATTCATAGAATATAAAGCAAAAAAAAAAAAAAAAGAACACCTTACTAGAAGAAATGAGATTAAATAGTGCGTATTTTTATTTAGATTAAACTGCATAAAATTGAAAGGTTCAAGTTTTCCAATGAATCACAAGATGGTGTTGCTCTCAGTGTTTAATCTATATATTATTTACATATATGTACAAATAAGATTTAATATTTAATAATTAGTTTCTCTAAATGAGATATACAGATAAGTTTTTAATAAAGAAAAGACTATTTAAGCAATTTTCTAAATAAAATATCAGCTTTCCAAATAGTTAAAATGTATTAATAAATCATTAAATCAGATATATTTCACAAGATACGCAATAACTACAACTATCGCGCCATTTGTTTCTCAGAAAAAATGTTCGCAACAGGTTACGAAAAGATGAAAATTAAATTTAAGATGAAGCTGTTTGAAGAATGCTCAGTTAATAAGCATAATATTTTAACTTTTGTAGTCATTTACCTTTTTAAAAAATTCATGAAGTTAATGTGTAAGACGTACAGTTAATAAGCATAATATTTTAATTATAAGTATTGTAAGACGATTAAACCTAAACTCGACATAGAAAGTTAAAAAATAACAAAATAATAATAAAATAAAACAATTTTTACATTGATCAATGTGATTTTTTTGTACTTTTTATTTTCATTTATAATGTGAGTCG